GGCGGGGGCGATTCGGGCCTAGAGGATCTGTATGCAATAAATACCACCTCTCTTGGAAGCAACTCCTCTCTCCTTCCCTCGCACGCCATACCGCACCCTCCTCACTCCGCCCCTCTCCTGGAGCGTCGCCAGAAGCTCGCCCAGCGTATAGGCCTTTGCCCCTTTGCCCCGGCGTCGTGCCCCCCAATGTTTCCGTATGTGGCTGTGAGAGCTCGACAAATCAGCCCCCCCCCCCTTCCATTCCGTCCTGCCCGATTCAATATTCTAGCCGCCGGTATACTTGGTGTGATTGCTCTGGTGATGACTGCGACGCACTTCTCTTTATTGTTTCATCGGGTCTGGCCCGGACACCCTGCAAATAGGGGCTGTAAAAAGACCGAAGTACAGGAATTGAATGGAATTGAAAGCAAGGCTCGTTCCCTTTGTTTCCTTTTTTTTTTTTCGTGATGGAATCTTCCATGGTGTCGCATGAGGCCACGGGGTGTTTATGCACGCACGTGTGTGTGGGTGTGTGTTGTTGTTGTTTAAGCTCCTCTTTTCCGTTTTCTGAATTTCGCGATTCCCTTCCATTGACCCTGGAAAAGCTCGACGGTAACTTGTCGCTCCTTTTCAAAAAACGACTTCTTCACCGCTCTCTTCTCTTTGTGCCTCGCGAATCTCTCTTACCCCGTCTCCACACACACACACACACGCACACTCGCGAACTCGCTCTCACACGTACGCACGCATACAGTCGCCGCCGAATACACGCGCGGGCTTATCTCGTTGAAGGACGCGCGTCGACAAAGTCCCTCGTTTTTATCCACGAGCATAGGGCGCGGGAGGTGGGTGCGCTGAGAGAGCATCTGCTGCTGCTGCTGCTGCTGCTGCTGCTGCTGCAGGCACGTGAAGCAGGCCATGACACAGCTGCAGCACCCGCCCAACCCTCCCCTCGCTCCGCTTCACGCTGCTCTTCCCCCTCCCCCCGTCGCCGCCTCCGCGTGTTTTGCCGCCTTCTTTTTCTCTGCGTCGCACGCTGTTGAATAACATTTCTATCCCCCCGATTTCGTGTTGGCCGTGTGTTGTTATTTCAAGGGAGCGTGTCAGGCAGGTAGGGCATGGCGTGGCGTGGCGTATGCTCTGAAAACTCAACAGTGTACATTGTATGCTGAAAAATCAGCGATCATTGATGATTGCTGATATATCAGTGTACATGGAATGATTGCTGATATATCAGTGTACATGGAATGATTGCTGATATATCAGCAATCATAAATGATCACGTTTAGGTTTTTGGCTAATATTTCCTTTCAGACGGATATCATCGGAAAGTGGATAGCATTTCCAGATTCCTCGTGAAAAATGCTTTCAAACGAGCTACTATGTGATGGGGTTCAAATTGACCGCTACCATAACTTGGCTTACATTAACGACATTTCCGAGAGGCGGACCATTTCGAAAGTGAACCCTATCACATAGTAGCTCGTTTGAAAGCATTTTCCACGAGGAATCTGGAAATGCTATCCACTTTCCGATGATATCCGTCTGAAAGGAAATATTAGCCAAAAACCTAAACGTGATCATTAATGATCACTGATATATCAGCAATCATTCCATGTACACTGATATATCAGCAATCATCAATGATCGCTGATTTTTCAGCATACAATGTACACTGTTGAGTTTTCAGAGTGGCGCCGCCATGACATGTCTCCTTGTCGCCCCCTCCCCCCTCCCTTCCTACTCCCCTCCACACTGTAAATTGCTTACGAACTATAGGTTCGTAATGCAAACCAAAACGTTCGTAGCTTACGAGGGATTTTGAAGCGTTGTATTACGAACTAATTGTTCGTAAGCTTACGAACAAATAGTTCGTAATGCAAACCGATTGTTCGTAAGACCCGTCTAGCCTTACAGACAATCGCTTTGCAATACGAACAATTTCTTTGCAATACAAAGAACGAAAATTGTTCGTAACGTTGCAAAGTATTTAGTTCGTAAGCTTTTTACAGTGCACTCCTCTTTGCTCCGCCGCCGGAGGATATCGCTATTACGGGACGCGTGCTCGCGGACGTGTCTCCACTAACAACGGCGTCAAGTGTGTGCCCGGCGAGGCGATGGCTCGAATGATGATGGCTCACATAAAAATGAAAATATTTCAACGTTGCGTAAGGCGAGGGAGGAAAAGGAGAGTGAGAGCGTGATGGAGAGCAAACGAGAGGGTGAGAGCGAGCGAATGTGCGAGAGCGAGCGAGAGGGGAGGAGAGGGCAAGAGCGAGCGAGAAGACGAGAGCAAGCGAGAGGGTGAGAGCGAGCGTAGGGGGCGAGAGCGAGCGAGAGGGCGAGGAGAGGGCGAGAGCGAGAGAGAGAGCGCGAGTGAGCGAGCGTGCGGGTCGTATCTTGGGTCGGGCGTGTATTTTCCGGGACGGCACAAGCCGCGTATGAAAGGCTACCGGGTTGTAACGCGACAGGCGGAAATCTCACATCCAGATTAATCCTTTGGCTCTTTGGAATGATGAAACAGTCGTTTTAATAATGCGACATTTCCGCGCTCGCAGTCGCCTTTCAACCTACCCCCGTCTGTCTGTGTAATTGGGGCAGGGGTGTGTAAGGAGATTCGGCCTCTGCGGAGTGCGGACTCCCTTCGCCTAGAGAATTTGGGGGGTGCAAACATGGAACTGAGGTACTGTACCCCTCGGTTCTGTTTGCGGTTGTTGTGGCGAGGAGCTCGAGCTCGCGGCTTGTACCTGTTCCTCGGCCCGAGCAAACAGGCGGGGGCACCTGGGGCGGCCGGTGCAGCGGACCAGCTACAAGGAGAGGATGAGGGTCACTCTCCTGATATGTTGGGAAAATGTTTGAAATGCGATCGGGGCGGAGCGAGGCGAGTGCGGCGGCGGTGGCGGCGGCGCCTCCAACAGGTGCCGTGGGCGTGGTGGGGGGTGGCGGGGCGCGGCGGCCCGCTGCCCGGCCGCTCTGCGCGGCGCGCTCAGTCTGCGTAGCGCCTCGGCCCGGCCCGGCCCAGCCCGCGGCCTCAGCGACCGACGCGACGCGGATCGCGAGGCGCGCCACGATACGACCCACGAGACGTACACGGGGGACGTTGTGCCTAGAGACGTATGGCGAGCGAGGGCTGCCGCCGCGCCCGGCCGCGCCCCGCCGCGCCCCCGCCTCGCCCCACCGCGCCCCGCCGCTCCCCGCCCCGCGACGCGTTGCCATAATGTGAAGTGGCCGCCGGTGCCATGGTCAGGCGCGGGCGGAGGACGGCCCGCGAGTGCAGTGCTGTGCCGCTCAAAAGTGTCCTAGAGTGAAACAGGGGGAGAAGAAATAATTGCCCTGAAAAGAGTGTGAAAAATGTTGTGAAAAAGTGGAAGGAAAAGTGCAGTGATTGTGCATCAAGAAGTGCCCAGGAGTATATCGTGGTGTGTTTGTGCGTCTGTGCGTCAGTTCTGCGCCCGCCCCGCTCGTCACAATACAGTATCAAAACTGAAAATAACGGTGGAAATCTGTTGCTTTGCCTGAAAAGGCAAGATTTTCTGCCAACGCCAAAAGTTGGCAAAAAAGTCTCGAGATCATACTGTGTGGACGACGGGCGTGGGGCGCGGAGGTGCAACACTACACCTCCCTCCACATTGGATGTACCGCAAGACATCGCCGCGCGCTCTCTCTCGCTCGCAACGGATCCTTTTTCGTCCCCGGGGCACATGTCCCCGTGCGCCTCGCCCCCGCTGCAGGACGCCACGCCGCTGTGCCGCTGTGTCTGGTGATGTAGAACTACCCCTTCATTTCTTGACTTTTTCTCCTCCAGGGTGTTGGCCGGGCCCTTGGAGCTGTGGACCATGTGGGTCCGACTGCTGATCCTCGCAGGGATTCTGGTCGCAGGGGTTCTCGCTGATGGTAAGTTATTTTTATGTTTTAAAAAAAATTCACTTTGATGTTTTACCCAAACCGATGCATTTTTTCCTGATTTTGTTTTGTTTTCCCGCGTGCTTCGAATCGCTCGCCGTGTTGACATGGTAATCGCAGCGCGCGCGGCCGAATAAGCTGTTTTCAAAGTGATTAATTGATTTGTGCCACCCCCTCTCTCACTGGCGCGTTGGATTGACACTTGTTATTCGCCAAGCAACGCCAATTTCCTTTTTTTTTTTATCTCTCCCACTCTTTTTGAAATCACTCGCCATTCTCTGACGAGTAAATAAAGCGTCCTCCGACTTTGGCTTGCATCGATATAGTATTTTCGTACCTACAACGAAGGTGCCCGCTCCATTCGTTAAATATGTACTACAAAAAAGTAGTGCATCCGGTTCGATGACACATTGAAAAAAAACATAGAAAAATAGAAGCCATGCCTCATGGATTTCCTGAGGCGTGGAAAGGGGGAAACGATCAATAGCCTACTGCCTTCATGCGAATAAATGATAGTTTTCATCCCTACTTTCCCGCTGGAAAAAGTTCGAGCGAGAGTGTGAAAAACCAAGAACGTGACGGGGTCTATCAAGTCAAGTCGGTGTTATTTTTGCGCGTCCCGCGGGCTTCCCGCAGAGCCAGATCGGCCAACTCCGATACTCATCGCTCTGATAGGCCCCCCTCTCAGCTGGTTCGACAGGACTATGGCTTCGCGTCAACACGGTGAGCGAGAATTGTGAACGAAGCGTGCAGGACTCAAAACATTATCGGTGAAATTATCATATTATCGAAGTTAATGCATTTTCTTTTACAGTTTTCTTTTCTGTATCAGAGCGAGTTTTGTGTCGAGCTATGGGCAACCACTCTATTTGCAATCAACCATTTTGTCTACTTCTAAAATGTATAAAATTGGCTACGTTTACTATTTCCCGTGCCTTTGGCCAAGCAGCGAGCGCTAATTTGCCACACTGAGAAAAGATTCTCGCCCTAAGCACCAAATATCTAGTCCAAGACCAAAAAGTTTTGGCTGCACTAATCGTGTTCTGTAACTTCTCATTGCCAAAGTTTAATAGAGTTTTCCTTGGGAACGAAATATTTGTGTCGTGATCGGGAACAAAGAGTGTGATGTATTAAACAGACGTCTGGTGCTAGGCGGGAAAAGCATTCGCCGTGCAATGATTACTTCAAAACTGAAAAAAAAAAGAAAAAAAAAATACGATTCTGGCAAATCGTGGTAGACAAGAAGGTAGTTTATCGTTAGAAATGAATTTGAAACGTTCTGAAAAAGTAGCTGTAATTGTTATGCAATAGTCTATTTCAAAGGAGAGAAGTGCAAGCAACTTATTAATGAAATTTGAATGAAAAATACTACAGAAAATTAGAATTTTTTTGAGATATGTTTGCTATAACTTTGTCTGGTGAAATTTGAGAAATTTGAGTTTGTATCCACAAGTTTCCATGGAAATGACGAGCTGAGCAGTAGGCCGAGTCGAGCCAGGGAAATTTCAGCCAATCACAAATTTCCGCGGGAAAATTTGACCAATAGAAACGATCGCCTGTTGCTTTGTACAACCCTATCCAAAAATTTATATGAGCCTGGCGTGGAACTCTCTGGTTTCAGTGGTCGCGTTTGAATAAAAACAAGTCGCCGCCGTGTAAAAAGGTGCAGCATAAACGCTGTTTCGAACGCGACCGGTCAGCACCAGTCGACGATAGGCATTGTTAGCGAGGACTGTACTTCTGACTTCCAAATCGCATTTAAAAGAAGGCGCGGCGGCTAACAATGCTGCCAACCTATCGCCCTTTGCAGCTGGGGGTGCGGCTCCCAGGAGACTTTAAAAGAAAACTATGCTATTTTCGTTATACACTATTACCAACAGCTGAATAAAATATTCTGATTCATAACCACAACTGTAGATCCGCCTTCTAATAATTTTATTTCATAATATGACAACATCTGATATTAAATAGAATATTTTGACTATTCTAACTGTAAATTAAAATCTAGGGGGCCGTTAACGCGTTAGCGTTAGAATTTTTTATTATTCCTATTCTTGACGATGGCAAAGTCAATCATGCCCAAAAGAAGTTCAAATATAAGAGAACAAAAATAGTTGTCAGTAGTAAATTAATTTAGCTCACAGACAGCAGTGCGGTTTGGTTTTGGAATAATTTCTAGTAAATATTCATGCCATTGCGCAGAAAGAATCTGGTTTTGGGGCCAATATTTGAATAACATACCTTTGTCTGGTTTACTTATACAACCAGGAACAACACAATTAGTCCAGCCCATATTGTAGTTGTATTTTTATGTGGTTGAAATCATAAAGTATTAGGTAACACCAATAAATTTGACTCCAAGTTTATTGAAAATGGCGTCGATGGTCTTCCCTTTCGTGTACGTTTGAAATGAAAGTCTTTATAAGAAGGCGGTACGGTGGTGGCGTTCGAATACGATTATTGTCATTCGTGTCTGTTTCCTTATTATAGTAAAGGAAGTGTACTCCTTCGGAAAACCCGGATAAATGTTGTTGATGATTTGCTTGTTTTATTTAGAATTAGTGGTGAAAATAGGAATATTATGAGAAGGCGGTAAGGTGGTCGGCGTTCGAAAAAAAGTAGTGTTATCCTAGTTCTGTGCATTGTAGCAAAGGAAGGGATTGTTTGAACGCAGACTTTAGAGGTGTCTTTTTTCCTCTGAATTGGCTCGGCTCGGCCCACTTGTTGCATGTAAAAGTATTTCCATCTCCCTCTTGACGAGCCGAGTATTACCATAGAAACGGGAACTTTATCTTTAATTTAAAAAAAAACGGTCTCGTAAATTTTTTCTAAATTTTGCGTACCACGTTGTATGTAAAAATTCTTTATTTTAAAAAAAAATTAAGGAAATCGTCGGAAGGAATTTTTTTTTCCCATAAAGGGCCATATAAAACAATTGACTATCGGGGTAAAACGATACTAGAAGACAACTTCGTGTCTAAAAATATGCTGCGCAAGCATAAGCAGTTTTGTTTTTCTCCCGTGCTTCTCGCGTAAACGCACCTCGACCGAAAGAGTTGTATTTTTTCGTCATTCTTCCCCACTTTCGCCGAGCTCCGCGAGGTAAATGGTTCAAGAGAAAAGGGTCGCAGAAGGAGTTCTTTCATACGTGTGTTTGCTTTCTTGCGCTGCCATTGTGAGCGCGTATCAAGTTGGAGTTAGTCTAGGCGACGCCACGCCACCACGCCCGTCGACCCGTTACTAGTTTTGTCGCTGTTCCCGAGCTTTATTTTTCGGCCTCCTGTGCGCCAGAAGTGACTCTGCGGCGTGGTGGCGCGTCGCGGAGGCGGCGGCCTATGTGACAGCCCTTCCCTCTCTCCCTTCCCAGCGGGGCGCCTGCTGCCGCGGAGGGCGCGCGCACTGCGTTACGCCCCACCCGCTTCTGTTTTTTCCCGACCTGGCTTTCGTCTGTGGACCCTTCACCTAGCGATATTGTTTTCGATATGTATTTTTCCCATTTCAATTGCTGGAGAAAACGAAAGATTGCGCGCAGAGGACTGATTTTAGCGCGGGCGTTTGCGCACCCTGTGTTCAGGGCGACCTGACAAACAGCGTGGTGCTGCCAATCCCTTTACCGCGCGTTCTGCCGAATGGCTGATGAGATGAGCCGGAGCGGGCCTTTGTCTCGCTCCGTTAGCTGATATCGCATCCAACCTCGGCCTATGTGTCCCTCCGGTGCATGCGTGCGCGGTCACACCTGCGGGGTCGGCCCGGGTCTGTGCGTGCGGCGCCCTTTGCGTGGCCCGGCTTTTGTGGGACGGTTAGCGCCGCGCACTCATTTAGTCTGTCGCCTCCTTGCATTGTTTTTTCGCTCGGGCCCCCGCGCGTTTTTGTTTCCTGTACTTTTAATTACGGCAGCCGCTAAGAGACCGCCGCCACTGAGCCTTGTTTATTTCGCTTTGTTTATTTCCCTCTGTGTGCTCGCGTGGGTGTTTTTTTTTCGACGGGATGCTTAAAACTTTGCCATCACACATTAAAATTTTATCTGTTCCGCGAGGCCTGGCCTGGTCCGCAGGTCCGCAAACCCCCGCCGCCGGCGGCGTGACTGCTCGCCGGCCTTTTGCTTTGTATTTTCCGGCCTGCATCACCCCGCCCCGCCCCACCGCGCCGCGCACAGCCAGGTGGGCTGAAGGGCTTTGCCCGTAACACCCAGAGGGCTGCTATGTAAGGCAGATCCCGCGCTCTGCCGCCCCACCGTCACCAGATGGACAAGGTAACGATCAAAGTTGGGAGTGGGATCATCAGCGAGCGATAACTGCGCTGGCCCCCCGGGGGCCCGCGCGGCCCGGGTGGGGGCGTCGCGATGGGCCCCGCGACCCCCGCGGTGCGGTCGACAATGGGGGGGTATCAAGTTGGATCAAAATGAGGAAAAGGGGGAAAACAAAAAAATAAACAAAAGCCGTGGTGCGCGCGGGGAAGAATGTTTTATAATTTCGTAAAAGAAGATTCTGCCGTGGCCCTGAGGGCCTCTACGCAGAAGTACGTTTTCCTCGCCCGGGTAGCCCGGTGGCCGGACCAAGGCCTCTGCTGCCCGCGCTTTCTCGGTTCGCGTCGCTCCGTGCCGCGCCGGAGCCACGACCCGCGCTGGTTTGTAAAATACCGCCATCTGAATACTGTAGAAAGTTCTTATCTCGACGAACTGGGTGGGAAAGGGAGAGGAGGGGGGCGGAGACTAGAGGGAGCGGGGACGAGCCTGATTAATTTCTTCCCCTTCCCTTTTCCGCCGCCGTCTTTACTCTTTAGATAATTAGCTATGAAATGCGAACTCTCCAGCCGGCTGCAGCGCGCTCCCCCTCGTCCTTATTTGTCTCTCGCGATGGATCTCTCCACGCCGCGGGGCCGCCGCCCCATGTTTGACAAGGGGCTCTTCTCCTCTACATGGCTTGATGAGCCCGGCGCCCGGTCCGGCCCGGCCGATGTAAACGTCCCGGAGGTGTGTCTCGCCCCGGGGC